AACGGAATTTGCCGCATGGGGAAATCCGAAACGATTCCTCCCTCCCACCTCCACACATAAACGTTTCAATTGTTTTATCCCCACCATTCCCGCCCGGCATTCCCCAAATTGTTGGTGAAACGCGCGAAAATTTATAAATTTTTCAAAAAAATTTCAATTCGTTAATTCTAATACCTGCTTTTATTTGTTTACCTGCAATTTACGCGGTTGCCTAATCGGTTTTTAAAGAGTTAGCAATCACAATTAATTTTCTTACCTCAATTTGAGGTCGTTTGGGATAAACCCGAAATGCTCAATAATTGCCGTCTCGAAAGAAGAGTTTCGTAGAAAAAAAGGGAAATGGTTAAATAATTGCTAAGACTAAGTCTATGTAGTCTCAATTTGCATATTTGGTTTACGTATTTCTAACGATTTCAAACGTAAAGTTAACAAAAGTTTGATGAGACCGCTTTTATGCAATAATGTAGCAATCTTTTATTGATTGATAGTATTAGTCTTATTGCATTCTCTATAGTTTTAAATTCAATTTAAACATTTAATGAACCAATTAGATTTCATAGTTGAAAAATACAACTTTTTTACATAAACAATACGTGAAGTTTGTTATAGTTTAATACTAAATCTACAAACATCTGAAGTATACTAATGTGTCTATGTTATTCTCTATAGTTTTAAGTTTAATAGGCGCGTTCAGTTAATTAGACAAAATGCATTGGTTATTGAGAAAATCATTGAAAACTTCTATTAGTTTTCATTAAAACATAAGTAAAGTGTGTAAAATTCCTCAATCATTAATCAATTTCAAGTTTTAATGATTTTAAGTTATTGTTGCTTTTTTCAACGAAATTATAACATTCTCTTGGTTGAAATTATGTGCTAAATAAAGGTTAACTAATTCTTTGATAGATTCAATAAAAAATGTAACTTAAAAATCGTTAATTTTAGAAAAAATCAATAAAAATTGTTAAGAATGCAGAAGTTTTCAAAAATAGTTTGTTTATCCGTAAAAAGATGGCGTCTCGTCTCCCATCATTAAACAATCGCTTTAAAACCTAACCTAGGAATACATTGAAATTTCAAAAAAAACTTCTACTAGTTTTCATTAAAACATGAGTAAAGTGTGTAAAATTCTTCAATTATTGATCAATTTTAAGTTAAGTTATTGTTGCTTTTTTCAACGAAATTATAACATTGTATATAAATGCTCAATAATTGCCGTCTCAAAACAAAAGTTTTGTAGAAATGGTTAAATAATTGCTAAGACTAAGTCTATGTAGTCTCAATTTGCATATTTAGTTTACGTATTTCTAACGATTTTTACGGCTATAAATGTTAACAATTTTAAAGAGAGTTTTATGCAATAATGTAGCAATCTTTTATTGATACTATTAGTCTTATTGTATTCTCTATAGTTTTAACTTCGGTTTAAACATTTAATCAACTAATTAGATTTTATAGTTTTTTTTTTTAAAAAAAAAACGTTGAAAACTAAATGATACACATTTTTTTACATAAACATTACGTGAAGTTTGTTATAGTTTAATACTAAATCTACAAATATCTGAAGTATACCAATGTGTCTATAATGTTCTCTATAGTTTTAAGTTTAATTAGATCAAATGCATTGGTTATTAAAGAAATCCTTGAAAACTTCTATTAGTTTTCATTAAAACATAAGTAAAGTGTGTAAAATTCTTCAATTATTGATCAATTTTAAGTTAAGTTATTGTTGCTTTTTTCAACGAAATTATAACATTCTCTCAGTTTAAATTGTGTGCACATTAAAGGTCAACTGATTCTTTGATTGTTTCGATAAAAAATGTAACTTAAAAATCGTTAATTTTAGAGAAAATTAATAAAAATTGTTGAGAATGCACAAAAACGCCAAAAATAATTTGTTTATCCGTACAAAGATGGCGTGTCGTCTTCTATCATTAAACAATCGCTTTAAAACCTAACCTAGGAATACATTGAAATTTCAAAAAAAACTTCTACTAGTTTTCATTAAAATATAAGTAAAGTGGGTAAAATTCCTTAATTATTGATCAATTTCAAGTTTTGATGATGTTAAATTATTGTTGCTTTTTTCAACGAAATTATAACATCTTCTTAGTTGAAATTGTGTTCACATTAAAGGTCAACTAATTCTTTGATAGATTCAATAAAAAATATAACTTAAAAATCGTTGATTCTAGAGAAAATCAATAAAAATTGTTGAGAATGCACAAGGTTTTCAAAAATAATTTGTTTATCTCTACAAAGATGGCGTCTCGTCTCCCATCATTAAACAATCGCTTTAAAACCTAACCTCAAGTGAAATGTAGAGGAAAAGTAGAAGGAAACAAAACCTAGAAATACATTCAAATTGAAGGTTTGTTTCAATTTTAATACCCTTAAAAGTTGTATTTAATTGAAATGCGAAAGTAGTAAAAACGAATGTGTTTATTTAAAAAATATCTTGTATATATATAAAAAAAAAACGTATTGTATATATATTTACATGTTGAATAAAGATTCAAATACAAAACTGGACGGATTTGAACATCACTCGATAATAAAAAAAAAAACTTAAGTCTAATTGTTATTAAATCAAACGATCTTCCATAGGAAGAAACATACTGTGGATATGAGCAACGAAGGGGAGAGACCCTTCAGACTTCCCGTGTTGCATCCATCCTTGCTGTTGCACGTGCAGTATTCCATGAATATGTTATACGTGCCAGTCCTCATCAAACAAAACCTCTCATCACCTTGGATACCAGGTTCACCGAGATAAGCGCAGCTCCTGATGTACCTCCACACACCATGAACTAAAAAAAAGATGAAATGTTAAAACTATATTATCGGTAAAGACAAAAAATCACTCACTTTTTTGCCTGATCTTCCTGCACATCGTCGACTGCAGATTACCAAGATGCGCCAATTTCTGCTGCTTGCAATCAGTGATTGCAAATGTTGTATTATCGAAGGGATCCGAGCATTTCGGATCAGCGTCCGAGCGACAATCCCAACACTTAATTGACCAACCTAAGATGAGATCGATTGATGAATGAATGAATCACTTTCAATTAATAACTATATATATCAAGTAGGTTGTATGTAAACAAAACAAACACCTTATCTTATCTAACACTTACCTGTAGCGAACACAGCACAAAGCACCAACGCACAATACAAATACTTCATCTTCTCCACTTTATGTTTGGCTAATTGATGGTTTTAAAAGAGGAAAACTTTTCGAATGATCATCAACAATCGAGCATCTTAACGATGACCGCAAATGATGACGAAAACATGGGCGGCGACGCCACCAACGCCTGCTGGTTGAAGACGCGGGAGTTTCGAAAGCGACGAAGAAAACGTATGCAACCGAACTTACGTAACTTAACGTACAATTTTTTCAAAAACTGTTGATTACAGCCGAACTGTAATAGCTAGAAATCTCGTTAAGGGCGCGTTGGAAAGCCTAAATATTGATCTTTAATTAGTCATCGATAAAAAATGTGAAGATATGATAGGATAGGATATAAAATGGATGTTTTAGGTTTACCTTTTTTTTTTTCGGGGAATCGCAGTCGGCCGATGAAAAATATAAATTTGTATAATGTCTAAATCGTAGGTAAGTAATAATAAATATTAGAAATAGTTTGAATTGTGCTAAGGGTAACGGTCGGAGCCTTCGTTAAGAGGACGTCGCGTGTTGAAGTTTCTTCTGCTCCTCGGGTTTCGCTCCGTGCTCGTGCATGTAAGCCAAGAAACACGTCCAGATCAGACTGCAGCAACTCACGAAGGGCACGCGATTCCTTTCGGTGATGAAGCAGAAGTTTATCGTTTGAAGTACAGGCCAGAAGCAGATTCCCACCTGAAAGAAGAACATTTAATTAGTTTAAATTCGCTTCTTAAAAAACAGTTCTCACTTTGTACGTGGGGAAGAGCTTTTCTTTCACTTGATTCTTAGCCTCCTTCATCGTCTTTCCTTCCAGCAGAGACATCCCGAAGAAGAAACATACCATGGCTGATGGACCATACGTGACTTGCTCGATCAAAGCCTGAAAATAATGCAAAAAAAAAATTAGTAAATTTTCCACTAAAATTAACAATATTATCTATAATATCACAATTTAGTTTACTTATTCTACAATTTTTTTAGTCTACTAATTCATTATTTGTAATAACGAAGATTTCGTAATAGAAATTTCATCTAAAGAGATAATCTACGCACGTTTATAAACCAGATAACAATGTTTACAGTTTGAAAAAAAAAAACAACTTAAGATTATTTTATAATCAAGTCATCTGTCTCAATCTCAAAGTTCACTTTTTCATTCCCATGGAAACGTTCGTCAATGTTAAATCACTAGTGTATGTTTTCAACATTTTTGTTTTTATGTTATCTTATGTAATTTGATCAAATTTAAGCTACAAAACTGTTAATATCTCCTTACGATAAGTTACGTTAAAATTTTTAAAAAGTCGCTAATTTAATTCATATTTCTTTTAAATAATTAAAGTCAAACAAGAACGATTTTCATAATGAAATTAATAGTTGTTTCACGCAGAAAAGTCATGTAAATGTATGAAATTAAGTAAATCAAAGATTACTCTTTGCAAATCATGAATAAAGTTAACTAAACGTGACAAGGTTTTATTTTTTTATAAACGTCAAATTGATAACTGTCACAAGGTTGCTTTATCTTGGGTAATTTGATCAAATTTAAGCTAAAAAACTGTTAATATCTCCTTACGATAAGTTACGTTACAATTTTTAAAAAGTCGCTAATTTGATTCACATTTTATTTTTACTAATTAACGATTTTCATAATAAAATTAATCCTAGTTTTAAGCAGAAAAGTCGTGTAAATGTATGAAATTAAGTAAATTAAAGATTACTCTTTGCAAATCATAAATAAAGTTAACTAAACGTAACAAGGTTTTATTTTTTTTTATAAACGTCAAATTGATAACTGTCACAAGGTTGCTTTATCTTGTGTAATTTGATCAAATTTAACCTAAAATAACTATTAATATCATCTTACTATAAATTACGTTACAATATTTAAAAAAAGTCGCTATTTTGATTCACATTTTATTTTACTAATTAACGATTTTCATAATAAAATTAATCCTTGTTTCACGCAGAAAAGTCGTGTAAATGTATGAAATTAAGTAAATCAAAGATTACTCTTTGCAAATCATAAATAAAGTTAATTAAACGTGACAAGGTTTTGTTTTTTCTTTATAAACGTCAAATTGATAACTGTCACAAGGTTGCTTTATCTTGTGTAATTTGATCAAATTTAAGCTAAAAAACTGTTAATATCTCCTTACGATAAGTTACGTTACAATTTTTAAAAAAAGTCGCTATTTTGATTCACATTTTATTTTTACTAATTAACGATTTTCATAATAAAATTAATAATTGTTTTAAGCAGAAAAGTTGTGTAAATGTATGAAATTAAGTAAATCAAAGATTATTCTTTGCAAATCATAAATAAAGTTAACTAAACGTGACAAGGGTTGTTTTTTTTTATAAACGTCAAATTGATAACTGTCACAAGGTTGCTTTATCTTGTGTAATTTGATCAAATTTAAGCTACAAAACTGATAATATCTCCTTACGATAAGTTACGTAACAATTTAAAAAAAATCGCTATTTTGATTCACATTTTATTTTTAATAATTTACGATTTTCATAATAAAATTAATCCTTGTTTTACGCAGAAAAGTCGTGTAAATGTATGAAATTAAGTAAATCAAAGATTACTCTTTGCAAATCATAAATAAATTTAATTAAACGTGACAAGGTTTTGTTTTTTTTTATAAACGTCAAATTGATAACTGTCACAAGGTTGCTTTATCTTGTGTAATTTGATCAAATTTAAGCTAAAAAACTGTTAATATCTTCTTACGATAAGTTACGTTACAATTTAAAAAAAAGTCGCCAATTTGATTCACATTTTATTTTTACTAATTAACGATTTTCATAATAAAACTAATCCTTGTTTCACGTAGAAAAGTCGTGTAAATGTATGAAATTAAGTAAATCAAAGATTACTCTGCAAATCATAAATAAAGTCACGTTTAACAAGGTTTGTTTAAACGTCAAATTGATAACTGTCACAAGGTTGCTTTATGTTTAAAAAAAACAATATTGCTGATTTGACTCAGTTTGTTTTTGATTTCTTTAAATCGAAATAAAAATCATTGACAGAAGGTAACTAAATATAAACGTTCGCATTTAGTTTAACCTCAGGTTTCGAGAGATTTACATTGAGAACGCGCCACCGACGTAAATATAAATGTTACGAAACCCAAACAAGCAACCGTGGTTGCCTGCAATCGACATTCCTTAATTGCCGCGAAATACCTGTCAATTCGAATTAGACGTCTGTCAGTTTAATAGGATTATGTAAATTTACGAAGATCAACAGCTCAGATCTTAATGATTTGAAAATTAAAGTTTATTTTCGAAGTTATTTAAGTATATTCAGTGTAAATTAATAGAATTTGGGTAATTTGAAGCGATAAGGTGATATTAAAGTTGCCTTGATTGACGTTAAACACCTGTCAATTCGAATTAGACGTCTGTCAGTTTGATAGGATTATGTAAATTTACGAAGATCAACAGCTCAGATCTTAATGATTTGAATATTAAAGTTTATTTTCGAAGTTATTTAAGTATATTCAGTGTAAATTAATAGAATTTGGGTAATTTGGAGCGATAAGGTGATATTAAAGTTGCCTTGATTGGCGTTAAACACCTGTCAATTCGAACTTGACGTCTGTCAGTTTGAAAGCATTATGTAAATTTACGAAGATCAACAACTGCGATCTTTGTAATTTCAATATTAAAGGTTGTATTAAGAGTTGTTTATATACATACGGATTATTATTGCGTAAATTAATGGTATTTTGGTAATTGGGGAGATTAAGAAGATAATAAAGTTGCCTGAATTTCGTGAATTGGCGCTAAAGTCTTGTCAATTTAAGTTAAGTGTTATATAAATTTTAGTAAAGAAATGTACCTTTTTGACTGCAGTTTTGAATGATCTTCCTGGAAGCATGAACCCGGACAGTCGTATCCAGCAGTAGAGGGTCGGAGCTGTGAAGAGACCACCGAAAAGGCTGAATCTCAACGCCTGTTTGTAGTCGTACGTCTTGAAATCCCGTCCGGAAACTATCGTCTGCTGGATGAGATTGGAGGTGGGCCAGATCGCCGCATAGGAGAGCATCCCTCTGGTCATCGGGTAAAGCCTGATGAAGGCCCTGAACCTCGAGAACACGGCCATATCGCACTACAAAATCAAACAAAATCGAATACAAAACACACTTTCTCTTATTCGCGCTTGCTCGATTATTGTTCGTCGATTCTCTGGTCGCAGCTCACTGCGATGATTTCGTACACATCATCACCATTGTCTGTACATTGAGTGTGCGAGTTTTTTTTTTGGCAAGGGCTCAGCGAGGCTCAACTATCTATGGTCTAACGGTGGCATTCGACAGTCACGCAAACCTTGGACTTAAAAATATACGAAAACATGATTACTATTGAATGACGAGGAGGGGAGTTTAGTAATCGCAAGGTTTACGTCATCTGTCACGCTCACGTGCGTCCATTTACCGAGAATCGACGATCGTTACAAATTTTTGATTGCACAATGGAAATCGGAAACGCCCGATCGCATTCAAGGGGGTGGAAAACTGTTGTTGCGCAGGCAGAATCGAACTGCTTGGATCGTTTTCACAAAGAAAATGTATAAATTAAACGATTGTAAAAGCGTTGCGACGTCCTTGCTTGAAATAGATACAAAACGCGACAGTTTACATAGGCAAACATCAGATACACTGAAGCACTTTGGGTTACATATATGTAATCAACATAAAGCGTTATTTCAAATTTCAAACTTCGATTACATAAAAAACAGAGAATACCACACATCTTTTAGTACGCTTATCGGAAAGATCATAATTTTACCTTCAATTTGCGTCTTCAATACTTGAATTAGCTTAAGTATTTATAGAGTAATTAAATAAAACGTAAAACATAATTTGACAATTTGATTGATAACAACCATTAAGTCAATAGTTTATACACAATTTTATAACCTCCAATGCGCATATTCAATTGTTTTCTTTACCATTGACAGTTTATAAAAAATGCATTATAAAAATCTAGTCGCCTCTTTTTCAAATTTTGACATCTCTTTCTTGAAAATTTGACAGTAGTGATAATTATTCCAATTGACTCTAGATTTTTGACATCTCTTTCTTAAACATTTGACAGTAATGATAATTATTCCAATTGACTCTAGATTTTTGACATCTCTTTTTTAAAAATTTGACAGTAATGATAATTATTCCAATTGACTCTAGATTATTGATAATGTGATAATTATTCGATTTTTCAAACTTCAAACTTCGATTACATGGAAAACAGAGAATACCACACATCTTTTAGTACGCTTATCGGAAAGATCACAATTTTACCTTCAATTTGCATCTTCAATACTTGAATTAGCTTAAGTATTTATAGAGTAATTAAATAAAACGTAAAACATAATTTCGCAATTTGATTGATAGTAATTAAGTCAATAATTTTATAACCTCCAATACGCATATTCAATTGTTTTCTTTACCATTGACAGTTTATAAAAAATGCATTATAAAAATCTAGTCGCCTCTTTTTCAAATTTTTGACATCTCTTTCTTAAACATTTGACAGTAGTGATAATTATTCCAATTGACTCTAGATTTTTGACATCTCTTTCTTAAACATTTGACAGTAGTAATAATTATTCCAATTGACTATAGATTTTTGACATCTCTTTCTTAAAATTTTGACAGTAGTGATAATTATTCCATTTGACTCTAGATTTTTGACATCTCTGTCTTAAAAATTTGACAGTAGTGATAATTATTCCAATTGACTCTAGATTTTTGACATCTCTTTCTTAAAAAATTGACAGTAGTCATAATTATTCCAATTGACTTTAGATTTTATCTATTTCATTGTCTTTCAATAATTTGATTAATCAAAAAGTTACAAAATTGTCAATTAATTACTCAGAATTAGTAAATCTCGTAATAATTCTAATAATCTTATGAGATTCTCTATATCAATTATTAATAGTTTTCAAGAAAATCGTCAAAAAATGTATTTTTTTTTTAAATATTTCATTCAATTAAACTTGAAAATACTCCAATTTCTTGCTATAATCGCGTGCTTAAACCAATTACTCCACTTACGTGATGAAAGAAAAAGTAATAATAAGTTAGACATTCTTCACACTGTTGACAGAAAAAATTGTCGACTATAAGAAAATTGCTTCGAAAAATCTCATTGTGCACGTAATTATTGGATTTTGTTATTTTTTTCGTAAATACAGAGCATCAATTAAGGCACGTTTTCGGTTTTCGCAAATGACCGTTTCGTGTTGCGTCCACAAGAATGCACGCAAATTGACCGTGAAGAAGGAAAAAAAAAACACAAACATAAATTCTTTAGCTAACACACAATGGGATACAAAAAAAGTAACGTTTATCAATAACGTAAATATTGTTCGTACACATTTTTACGCTCTTTTAACTTAGTGGAATTTCTATAAAAAAAATAAAGCAATGAAGAGAAAAACGTTAAATTTGAATCAATTTTTCAATAAGTTTCAAACAGAAAAAATGTTCATTTTGATTTATAGCAAATGTTTTTCATTGTTTCCTATTATTCATTTGTTACTAGGCCATTTTGATATTGGCTTGAAATTTTGTTTCATCTTTCTCTTGTTTCACGTAATGACATCTGTCATCATCAATTTTTGTTTTGGCGTCGGCACATCAAAGGAAACCGAAAACAGTTGATTAAACTTTATTTTTTATTTTGTTACTATTATCAGCAATAAATTATAAACGAATAAATAATCTCATAAATTAATTATATAATCAAAAAAAAAATTATAAATAAAAAATATGCGATTATTTTTTTTTTCAAGATACAAGAGTGGAAACGTTTTTATGATATGGTTGTACCCCAAGGAAATGTACTTTGTCCTTATATCATTTTATAAGTAAGTTGGTCATGGAAAAACAAACGAAACAATGTCCAACACCGATACAAGTACTTGTCCAAGTTGTCCAATATCAATATCTTTAACCATCAAATTTTTATATAAAGATACTTTCTCACAAAAAAAAACTTTCAATGATTCGAAACTTCCATCAACGACGAACCGGTATTACGTTTTTTTTCTCTTCTTCTAGTACTTCATCTTCGTTTCATTCAAAACGAATGAATGAATCTGATAAAAATCTATATATATATTTAAATAGTATTCAAAGCAATCCGGATTTCGTAATCGAAATCGTCTTTAACGTTTTTAATTTTCCAATCGTCGACTTCTTCTCTCACTTGCATGCTTACACTTAACGAATATCATCATCTCGAGACTCATTACTTAATCGCAGTCGGTGATTAACAGCTCAGGTGCACGGACGTCGGTTACCATAGTGATAGATACTCATCTGGGAGAAACGTGCCTCGAAAACATTTGAATGCACAATTACTCACGACACAATCTGTGACCGCAGCAAATAGATATAGAAAAAGAAAAAAGAGAAAGAAACATTGAATAAACCATCATTATAATCACGCCGCAACCATCCGAATGTTAAAGCATGTAAGTAATTAGAAAAATGTTAAAAAAGATTTCATAAGAAAATCATCATGATAATAAAACTACAATTTTAATTAATGTTTGAAAATTAACTTTACTCGATACGTGTCAAGTATTATACTGTCTTATGTACGTTTCCATGACTACCATTTTATTCCCAATTTATTTGAATATTGAGCAATTAAGTATTACGTTTCATCTACGTTACACACGAATAATTAAAAGTTAGTAAATAAATCCCAAGTACTTGTCCAAGTTGTCAAATAAATATAATCGTACGTATTCAATTTTCTTTGAAACCATTATCAAATATTGCACCGTTCGTATTTGATATATACGTTTCCATGACAATATAATAAACAAGTGCACTTGACATTTAAATAATACGTGTTAATCTACGTTACGCATGCATACACACATAACATACAAAGTTAGTACACATATCCCAAGTACTTGGCCAAGTTGTCAAACAAATACAATATTAATTCACCAACGCGTGTATACATCATGAGTGCATATTTAGTATGTACGTTGTTTCCATGACAACCATTATATTTACTTACATCTTTACACAACTCGTGCACTTGTCCAAGTTGTCAATTTGCAATTAATTATGTTTCTTAATTAAAATATTGTATAATACAAAAGAAATTAACGAAATTGTAATTTGTATAAATTTTTGTAAGGTGCGAAGAAACGCGGTGATTGTGCAATTTTCCGAACATAACTCTGATGAAGATGTGTTTTGAATAGTACGTGTTAATCTACGTTACACATACATACACACGTAACTCAAAGTTAGTACACAAATCCCAAGTACTTGTCCAAGTTGTCAAACACATATAATATTAATTCACACGCATCACAAGTGCATATTTGGTATGTACGTTGTTTCCATGACAACCATTATATTTACTTACATTTTTACGCAACTCGTGCACTTGTCCAAGTTGTCAATTTTCAATTAATTAGAATATTGCATAACACAAAAAAAATTAACGAAATTGTAATTTCGTATACATTTTTGTAAGGTGCGAAGAAACGCAGTGATTGTGCAATTTTTCGAACATAACTGATGAAGATGTATTTTAAATAACACGTGTTAATCTACGTTACGCAAGCATACACACATAACTCAAAGTTAGTACACAAATCCCAAGTACTTGTCCAAGTTGTCAAACAAATACAATATTAAATCACCAACGCGTGTATACATCACGATTGCATATTTAGTATGTACGTTGTTTCCATGACAACCATTATATTTACCTACATCTTTACACAACTCGTGCACTTGTCCAAGTTGTCAATTTGCAATTAATTATGTATCTTAATATTGCATAATACAAAAGAAATGAACGAAATTGTAATTTCGTATAAATTTTTGTAAGGTGCGAAGAAACGAGGTGATTGTGCAATTTTCCGAACGTAACTCTGATGGAGATGTCGTGAAAAAAAAAATAAATAAACAGTTGAAGGTAACTTTAGCGCCGTCCGCGTGTGTGCTCATTGTTTTAACATGTTTGCACTAAATCGAAACACAAAGAGCACAAAAGCAAATAGAGAAAGAAAATATGGACAAAGTTTGCGAAAGCAATTAAAGATTTCGTCAAATCATCAGACGAAACTCTAATTAAGAATTAAGTTCTTCAACTTCTTACATAAATTGATGTTAATTCAATTCAATCGCGCATCATTAAATTCAGTGCTGTGGAGGAAAATTACGGCGAGGATATGAAAAAATTGGACGAATTTGTTCAAAATTCGCTAATTTTTATGCATACAGGAAACGCGTGCGGTTTTTTTAGCATTAGATACAGGAAATAATTAAACATTTGAATTCGTTTCGTCCAATTATCCAAGACTACTTTTTGTATATATATAAAAAAAAACAACACTTGAAATTAAATTAGCAAATTATTTTTGATAAAATTTTTAAAAATATTTTCATAATTGTGACAAGATTAATGAAATGATTCGTTTTACGACCTTAATATTTCTATGCATTAAAAGAAAAGTACAAAATTATAAAAGAAAAAATTTCTGCATTGAAAAGTGTCGTTGTGCAAATTGATTTCCTTTGTAATGAACTGACAATATGAGGAGTCTCATTTTACGACCCAGAACTTAACCCTGTCGTAAAACTGGAACGAGTTTGCACAGATTTAAACGAACAAAAACAAGGGCGAAAGAATGGATGTGAATGCGAGAGAATCGTGTCAATGGTTTATTTTTTTCGTGGCGCCGAGGATATAATTTTGCAATATTACGTAGATCGCAGACAGCTTATTAATTTACAACCCAAGTGTACTTAATGATAACGACTGTAGTAGAGACCTAGACAGAGAACGTCATCATCATCATCATCAAGTTCATTCGGATGTCATGAGATTAACGCATTTAGACACAAAATTCTTACGCAAATATTATAATAATTCAATTAACTACAATTCACTTTTCGTTTACTTTTCAAAATTTAGAAATAAAATTACTATACTAAAAAAATATACAATACTTGATACTTGTCAAGTTACTTTAATCGTAGTCTGTTTGCTTTCGACAGTAACTTGTCAAGTATTGATATGTACGTTTCCATAACAACCATAGTTTATTATTGTTATGGCACTATTATAATAATTCAATTAACTACAATTCACTTTTCGTTTACTTTTCAAAATTTACAAAGAAATAAAATTACTAAAAAAAATATACAATACTTGATACTTGTCAAGTTACTTTAATCGCAGTCTGTTTGCTTTCGCCAGTAACTTGTCAAGTATTGATATGTACGTTTCCATGACAACCATAGTTTATTATTGTTATGGCACGATCATAACCTGTACTCGGTTAACTTAACACTTTACAAACAATCGAATTCACATGGTTTAAACTTTGACAGTTGTCAAGAGTTAAGCGACGAGCGTTGAGAGATGATATTTGAATGGATGATAACAATATGGAATGATGATTTTTTTTACTTTGAAAACATCTCAAGTCCATAAACATTAAAATCCTACAGTCGAACAAGTTATATTCACAATTAAGTTATCAAGACTTAAAGTATACTTAAAAACCTATAGTTTATATAACAAAGTATGTGTATAGCGATCCTGTAGTGAGCGCATGTTTCGATCGAATACGTAAAGTGTTTTCGTTTCGAACGGTTTTATGTAATTGGTGCTATTATCAAAGGGAGATAAGAATATAGACTTGATTAGAGTAGAGTTCGAATGAGCTGGTGCGATGATGATGATGATGGTGGTTGGTCGGTTGGTGGTGGGGCTCACAGCCATCGGAGATTGCAATTTTTTCCATGTCAGTCACTCAGTCTGGCCGCGACAGCCACGAAACAACAACAACAACAACAAAACGCGCAACGCAACTTAGTTACATTAGTTACCACAGCAACAGCAACAACAACAACAACTTAAGTTCGGTGTGCTTTTGACTCGTTTGTTTCGCGTGCTCTTTTGTTTTCGTTCAACCACAATTCAACAAAACAAGTACACAAAGAATCAAAGCCGTCTCAGCAAATTAGGTTTGTTAATTTAATTAATTGAAAAACTGCCAATTGCAAAATTACATCACGCGCACAAATTATTAATATTTCATTTAAAATTGTTATTTTCATTATATTTTTTTTTCGCGAATGCAGCGCATTTCGAAGCGGAGATAAAACAAAACGAGAGACGAGAGAAAACACACACACACACACAAACACACTGACTGCATTATTCATAAGTGGAGAAAAACGCGGTTACAATTCTTCAGTTATAAATAATTCCGCGATTTTCACCGCAATTCTTCGGAAGAGAAGATAAGTTATTTTTAAACTTATCGGACTTTAAAATTTTCAACCGGTAATCAAGGAAGACGCGACAAACAAAAGAAAAAAACAAAACAATAACGATTTTTCTATTGCTTGTTGTGTTTTTTTTTGTTTCATAACTAATAATAAGTGGTTTTTCGTTGGAATTGAAAAATGACAAATTAAATTTGAAAAATTTCATCTAGAAACACTTTGAATTTATTTAATTAGAACAAAATCTAGCGATCATCGTTGGTTACTATGGAAATTTTAACAAAACAGTAACTTTTTTTGTTAAAATTTCCTGTAGCATTTTTATTTAATTAAAAAAAAATATCTAGTTGACTTCATTAGTTACTATGGAAATTAATTACTGACAAAACAATTGCAATGTTTTTGATGCTTAGTTTATTTTTTTGAATTTTAATGAATAATAATTGTTTTACGTTACATTTAATTAAAAAAAATCTAGTTGACATCATCGGTTACTATGGAAATTAATTATTGACAAAACAATAGCGATGTTTTTTGATGCTTCGTTTTTTTTTGTTGTCTTTTAATGAATAATAATTGTTTTAGGTTACATTTAATTAAAAAAAATCTAGTTAACTTCATTGGTTACTATGGAAATTAACTTTGACAAAACAATAACGATGCATGTGTTGTTTGTTGTTTTTTCATAAGTAAAAATAAGTGGTTTTTCGTTGAAATAAAAAAAAGACAAATTAATTTTGGAAAATTTTCATCTACAAACACAATGAATTTATTTAATTACTACAAAATCTAGTGGTCATCGTTGGTTACTATGGAAATTTTGACAAAACGAGAAATATAGTTGACTTCATTGGTTACTATGGAAATTAATTATTGACAAAACAATTGCAATGTTTTTGATGCTTCGTTTTTTTTGTTGTCTTTTAATGAATAACAATTGTTTTACGTTACATTTAATTATTTAATTTAAAATAAAAATCTAGTTAACTTCATTGGTTACTATGGAAATTAACTTTGACAAAACAATAATGATGTTTCCTTAATATGTAAATAACTGAAATAAATAAAAATCTAGTGTTCCTTGCATACTTTGTAAATTAAATTTGACAAAACAATAACGATGTATGTTTTGTTTGTTGTTTTTTCATAACTAATAATAAGTGGATTTTTGTTGGAATTAAAAAATGACAAATTAATTTTGAAAAATTTTCATCTAGAAATACATTGAATTTATTTAATTAGAACAAAATCTAGCGGTCATCGTTGGTTACAATGGAAATTTTGACAAAACAAAACAGTAGTGAGAAATCTAATTAACTTCATTGGTTACTATGGAAAATAACTTTGACAAAACAATAACGATGTTTCATTAATACGTAATTAACTGAAATAAATAAAAATCAAGCGTTCGTTGCAAACTTTGTAAATAAAATTTGACAAAAAAATAACAATTTTCTATTGTTTTTTATATGTCTTTCCATTACTTTTAATAAAACATTCAATTTGTTCCAATTTTCATGTAGAAACGTATAGATTTGATAGAAATAATAATGATCAATGATATAAATTTGCATACATAAATTAACATCACAATTTTCACTACTGTTATTGCAACAGACATGCATATAAATAATAACATTATTGCCACCACAAGAATACAAAAAAAAACAAAAACAAAACAAATAAACAAACGAATGAAGAAACAACAATTATGTATACGTGATTGAATGCAAATTAAAAATACATCAAAAAGAAATAGCGAAATGATCAATTTTTTTTCGATTCTTTCAACTTTTTCATTAATAATCAAGTAAAACTTAATGTTGTAATTAGTTAAAAAAATTGAAATATCTTGAGGAAAATCAAATTTATTGAAAAATAAATTGAATTCTCCATTTAAAACTTAACTTCAAACAAAAAAAATGTAGCAATTAGATAAGAGAAATATGTGAAAATTTCCATAAACCTATAAAATCGATTTGTTCATTCAATTTTTAAGCACAAATAAACGAAGGAAACGTTAAAATTACTGTTATCTTAACGTTCTTGCATATAAAACTATATTAGTCTCGAACATTTCCATCGTTGCGAAACGATAAATGAAAATTTAACATCAACAAATTAAAAAAAACTTAGATTCGAGAAACGAAAATTTTAATCGTTACTAATAACGATTCTATGAATCACCTTCAAAAGTTTTATTCGATTTGAGGTCACGCAAATCTACACACATACAAATTCGCATATTCACTAATGATTAATTCAGAAATCCATAAAAAAAAGAAGAAGTTATTTCCAACAAAAAAAATGTACAGTTTCTTTTTCGTTCTTAAAAAGGTTATCGAATCTTAAGATTATTTACATTAAAATTGTCATCGAGTCCTGTTACTTTTTATGGAAATTCGTTCAAGTAATGAATATCGTATTATAAACATGAAATGTTATTTAAAAATTTGCGCAAACAGTCACGTTTCTTTATGGAACAACAAATTCGTTTTCTTTCTCCAATTACGATACAAAAAAAAAATGTTATCAATCTCTTTTTAATTGTTATTTCTTTGATCCGACGAACCGAACAACCTTGGATATAATTGCAGCGAATCTCGACGATTTCAAATCCGTTTTCTTTCATTCACATTCATGGAAACCGATAAAAAATATCTTCTAATAAAACTTTAACATTGATGGAAATCTGTTGTTGGTTGTGTGTGTTAGTGTGTATTGAATTGAGCCTCGTATAATCACAATAATAAACTGAAACTTTATCGCGTTCCAAAGACGAACTGTTTGTTTGTTTGCTTGCTTGTACAAGCATGTATGTTCGATTATATAAAACGATGGAATTCTCGGCCAGATTAAACCAGATTGATGCGACGAGTATTATTTATAAAAGGAAAGTCGAGTCGATCGAAGGAAGGAAAAAAAAAAAAGAGAATACATCAATTTCAAGCATTTTCAAGACACTTTTCTGCATCTATATAAATTCAATTCGCAAGTTTTCTTTATCTCTACATACTAACATGTATAAAGTTAGCTATAATATAAAAAAAAATCAATTTAAAACAACGTTTTTCGACGATTTTAAAACAATTCAATCTGACGCCATCTGTCGTGTATAAATCGAAACTTGTTACATTCACTAATTTTAACAGTATTTATAAAATCAACAATTCAAGTTTAATAATAGCATTGAAAATGATAAATAAATAAAGCAAATTAGATAACGCCATCTATCTATTAATTAAGTAAACTGAATTTACATTAAACCAAATTAATTTATTACTTTAATTTGTTATTATTATAAGAAAAAAAAACAACAAATATCGCAGTAATTAAAGTTATTTACGTGACGCCATCTATGGTATAATTAAAGTAACCAATTTTATAAGAATTGAACTTCAAGTTCTGTAATAGTAGTGAAAATGATAAATAATTAACGTAAATTACACAATTTGTTTGGACGCCATCTAACGAGTAAATTACATAATTAATTCTGCATCATAGCAAATAAATGTATCACTTTGATTTGCTATTGTTATTATGTGTAAAAACACAATAAATATCGTAATAATTGACGTTCTTTCTGTGACGCCATCTATCGTATAATTAAAGTAAACAATTTTATAAGAATTAAACTTTAAATTAGTTTGCATTTTATTTTCGTAATCAAATTCTGCAATAGCAGTGAAAATGATAAATAACTAACGTAAATTACACAATTTGTTTGGACGCCATCTAACGAGAAATTACAAAATTAATTCTGCATCATAGCAAATAAATGTATCACTTTGATTTGCTATTGTTATTATGTGTAAAAACACAATAAATATCGTAATAATTAACGTTATTTCTGTGACGCCATCTATCGTATAATTAAAGTAACCAATTTTATGAAAATTAAACTTTAAATTAGTTTGCATTTTATTTTGGTAATCAAATTCTGCAATAGCAGTGAAAATGATAAATAACTAACGTAAATTACACAATTTGTTTGGACGCCATCTAACGAGAAATTACAGAATTAATTCTGCGTCATATCAAATAAATGTATCACTTTAATTTGCTATTGTTGACTTTGTAAATACTGTTGAAACTATTGTATGTATCTTTGAAAGTAACAAAATTTAGTTACGATTTTTACACGACAGATGGCGTCAGATTAAATTGATTTAAAATCGTCGAAATTGCATTTATTTTCACTTGTAGCTAACTTTATACATGTGTAAAATCACAATAATTGACGTTTTTTATGTGACGTCGAAATTTCATAAATTTTAAATCTACATTATTTTTCAATGAGAATAATCGAAACGCAATCGCGCACCATTGTTCAGCGAAACAAAATAATTAAATTGTCATTATCTAAGCTAGATAGATTAATCTACGTGATCGCAAAAAAAATAAAATTAATCGACCCAATTACAAAACGGAAATTTTAAAAGTGTTCCCACAGTTGTTGTTATCGCCTCGATAATTGAGGAGAAAATCGAACACGAGTGGAACTGATGAATCTGCAAGGAAAACGACTTTTTCATCATATCACAAGTTCAACGTATCGATAAAACAAAACAACAACAGAAAAAAAATACTTCTGTACGGTAGTCAAATTGTACAATTATTAAGTACAAATTTAGAATCTAACTGATAATATTATCGAAATTATCATTAAATTCCACGATGATTCGACTGGAATTTTAAGTCATTAAGTCGTGATAGATATTTACGGTCTCGCGTCCAGGCGTAGTGCGTATTGTATAAAATTTGAGTAAAATTAGTAAGTTAAGTCACTAAGTTATTAAGTGCTTTTTAGTTACGCCATCTATCGTGATTTTTTTTTAATCTTCGTGATCTTCTTTCTTCTTTCGTGAAACACCTCAAATTGGCTTCCGCGTTAACCGTTAAGCCGGTCACTGTCTGTTCTATTCTTATCACTTGACTAACTATCTAACGTAAACTATCTACTATTATCAATGTACAAAGTAAGATACTGGAATGATAGGTGAAAACGAGAAGGTCGAAGCAAACATATGCAGCATTATGTAAATTAACGTGTTTTAGCGTTACGCCATCTCTCGGGTTTTTAACGAACTAATCAATTGTTGATCTGCTTGAAACTGTTTTGTATGTGGTTTATATTGGATTTGGATCAAGTCACTATGTAAATTCGATTGTTTAATGTTCAATGTTTCGTTTTTTCGCAGATTTGAGCTTCTGGTTCTCCTCTTCGTGCAGCGAAACAAAGAAACAAGTGGTTCTCGCGCGCTTCGCTTCGTCTCTGTATAATGAGAGCGACGGTTTCGGGTGTAGCAGCAGCGGTTTCCCTGTGTGTAGGCATCAAATTGCTTCCATAAAACATAATCAAGACCGCAGTAATTCAGTCAATGACGACCACAACTACTGCGATGATGATGATGGAAGCGAAGGGCGGTCCGAATCTGCTGATGGGGGACCTCCAGTTCAACGCATCGAACAAACGGAACGGCATCAAGTACTCGGCGAGCGGCAGCACGACGTCGTCGACGCCGACACCGACGACGCCGACGTCCGCATCCTTCGAACTGAGACCGGTCAACTTCAAGAACGGTCCGATGACCAACGTGAACAACAACAGTCTCATCTTGAACAACAACGTGAACAATAGTAGTGTCGACAGTAAGAAGACTGCAGCTGTGAACGGTTTCGCCGCCTGCAGGAGACACGACATGCCCATGCTGATCATGCCCAATCTCAAGCAGCAGCAACAGATCTCTTCGTTCAGACAGTACAGGACGGATCCGTTCTTGCTGCAACAGCAACAGCAACAAAGGGATTACACCGTTCCCGGACATATTTCGCGCATCTGCTCGAACGCCACCTCCTCTTCGTCCAGCCCCAAATCATGGACTTCCGTGGGGATGGGATGCACCGACGGCAAGAAGATGATCGTCAAGCGAGTGCCGACCTCACCGAACGAACTCTTCAACATCGTCAATCCACCAACGTAAGTTTAACAACTTTACAATATTGTTGCCACAAATAACGAAAAATGGTAAATTATCTAAAGTAGTTCCCCGAGGATCAATTTTAGGTCCTGTCAACATAGGACACATTTTTCACTGTTAATTTCAAATAAAGTTCTTTAATTGTAAAGCTGCACACACACTATATCTTAAATCAAAAAACATTGTAAGAAATGCACAAATTAATTGAAAAAAAAAATCATCATATTTTCTAAATTAATTATACATTATTAAACAATTGGTGAAGCAATAGACGTGCTATAGAAGACTTATAACAATAAAATATGTAAAAAGTTTATGAATTCTGAGAATTTTTGTCAACAAATTCTGACATTTACTCTTAAAATTAACATTATTTAATTGTTGTATCCATGGATACGAATGTAACAATAAAATATGTTAAATCAATCTAACCTAAAAATCTGTTATAAGATCCAGTTAAGGCCACAATTTCATCTACAATTCGCGTATTGTTGCATGGATTATTCTTTGCATTCAAGTGTTGAATGTTGATGACCGTTGATCGTCCTTGTCGTGTGCTGCTCATAGACGCGCTATAGAAGACTTATTCCGATATAATAATAAAATATGTAAAAACTTTTATTGTTATTAAGAAAAATGCGAAATTTTGACAACAAAATCTGACATTTACTCTTAAAAGTAACAGAATTGACATTATTTAACAATTGTTGTATCCATGGAAACGGATGTAACAATAAAATATGTCAAATGTTCTAACCTAAAAATCTGTTGTAAGTGGCCACAATTTCATCTACAATTCGCGTATTGTTGTATGGATTGTTGTTGCATTCAAGTGTTGAATGTTGATGACCGTTGATCGTCCTTATCGTGTGCTGCTCATAGACGCGCTATAGAGGACTTATTCCGATATAATAATAAAATATGTAAAAACTTTTATTGTTATTAAGAAAAATGCGAAATTTTGACAACAAAATCTAACATTTACTCTTAAAAGCAACAGAATTGACATTATTTAACAATTGTTGTATCCATGGAAACGGATGTAACAATAAAATATGTCAAATGTTCTAACCAAAAAATCTGTTGTAAGAGGCCACAATTTCATCTACAATTCGCGTATTGTTGTATTGATTATTGTTGCATGCAAGTGTTGAATGTTGATGACCGTTGATCGTCCTTGTCGTGTGCTGCTCATAGACGCGCTCATAGAAGACTTATTCCGATATAACAATAAAATATGTAAAAACTTTTATAGTTATTAAGAAAAATGCGAAATTTTAACATCAAAATCTGACATTTACTCTTAAAAGCAACAGAATTGACATTAATTAACAATTGTTATATCCATGGATACGAATGTGACAATAAAATATGTTAAATGTTCTAACCTAAAAATCTGTTGTAAGTGGCCACAATTTCATCTACAATTCGCGTATTGTTGTATGAATTATTCTTGCATTCAAGTGTTGAATGTTGATGACCGTTGATCGTCCTTGTCGTGTGCTGCTCATAGACGCGCTCATAGAAGACTTATTCCGATATAACAATAAAATATGTAAAAACTTTTATAGTCATTGAGAAAAATGCGAAATTATGACAACAAAATCTGACATTTACTCTTAAAAGCAACAGAATTGACATTATATAACAATTGTTGTATCCATGGAAACGGATGTAACAATAAAATATGTCAAATGTTCTAACCTAAAAATCTGTTGTAAGAGGCCACAATTTCATCTACAATTCGCGTATTGTTGCATGAATTATTCTTGCAGTCAAGTGTTGAATGTTGATGACCGTTGATCGTCCTTGTCGTGTGCTGCTCATAGACGCGCTCATAGAAGACTTATTCCGATAGAACAATAAAATATGTAAAAACTTTTATAGTTATTAAGAAAAATACGAAATTTTGACAACAAAATCTGACATTTACTCTT